TGAAACGGGCTCGGTCGTAGGAGGCGCCGTTTCGCCGCAGCGCGGCTTGAAACACGACACTCGTGGTACCCGCCGAAAGCGATGTGAAGCTTTGACCGCGAGGCGCGTATGGTTCCGGGGGTCCTAAAACCCTCGGGCAACGACTATAATCCTTAGAATTGACTACATTTTCATTTAAAATGCGTTCCAGGAAACCGATTTTTTTGTTTTTAACAGCCTAGCCACGGTCCGAAGGGCGTACACTGTAAATCCTGGGTGTCCAGCAGGTAGGCGACAATGTCGCCTGACCCAAAAGACTAGGCAACTTAAGTCGCCTACCTGCTGGACAGCCTGTCGCCTTTTCCAAGGTCTGGACTATTGGGCCTAAATGCACTGGATATCAGTGGACCATATCATTTGCATGGGGGAGTGATAGAAGTGGTATAGACAACAAGCAGCAAAGCCGCCCACTGATCGAACAAATCAGCTGTCCAGATGTCAGGCGTATGACAGGCTATCCAGTTACGGGACACCAATGGTTATGTGTGGGAAAGTGATGGGAATAATACTCTGTCATCAGCATAGCACCCTGTGCAGTGCCAGGGCGCCCAGCTATGAGACACATCTTGTGCCCAGTGTGAGGACACGTTCCAAATAGCATGAGTTTGGTGCTCATCAGGCCAGGCAATGCCAGGTGTGGCAAAATTTGTACGGTCTCTGTACTGGTTGAGCATCACTGCAAATGTGTCGAGCGTTTTGTGGTGTTGGGTCGATCGGGACTCACTCACCGACACTGTTGTTCTGTTGTCCTCCTGTGCCTGCCATAACCTACTCTCAAAGATTAATTCATACAGTGGATCGTCAATCTCCTACAAGAACAAGAAAAAAGTTTAGAAGTCGGGTATTAAGTTAATTAAAGAAATAATACTGAGAACAGTACTAGTATCACAAATGAAAACACTTAATACTAGGTAGATGTACGCCAGACCACGTCTCGCGTAACAGGCTTCGCGATATCTCACGAAACACTGTTACGCTGCGACGCGCCTGGCATACATCTACCTAGGCCTGCGGCGCTGACACCCGAGTCGGGTATCGCAAATATGAACACAAAGATACGGGCCTCCAGCCCGTCAACTTCCCGTCACTTCGACTATACATGCAGGGTTGTACATTTTTTCGCTTATTTTCGTCAAAAACTTCATGTGGCGCCTAAACGGTTAATGATAGAGCCAAACGGACGAAATTTTTGCCCAAAGGGCTCTACTTTGATGAGTTACCCCTTAGAAAACATTAAAAAAATATTTTTAAAAAACATTATTTGTAGGACCTGTGGTTTTTGATTTTTTTTAAATCCAATTTTTGAGCTACAATGCTCATCTTCGAACTCGATCTGTCTTTTTATGATACAAAACGACCCTTAAAATCCCAGGTCGCTAGCTCAATTCGTTCTCGAGTTATCGTGATGATAGACCGACACAGACAGACAGACGCGAAACTTTTTGATCATCACTGGAGTAATAGGCTTCGCTAATCGCTCAGCCAATTATTTTCTAAGTAATACCTCTTCAGCTTCAGGTTCATCAACAACAATTGGAGTTGCATCTTGCAAGAGTGGTGATGCAGCCAACGTCCTGTCTAGACCAATTAAAGAACATGCCTAGTAAAAGAATACTAGGTAGATGTACGCCAGACCACGTCTCGCGTAACAGGCTTCGCGATATCTCACGAAACACTGTTGCGCTGCGACGCGCCTGGCATATATCTACCTAGGCCTGCGGCGCTGACACCTGAGTCAGGTAGCGCAAAAATGTACACAAAGATACGTGCCTCCGGCCCGTCAACTTCCCGTCACTTCGACTAAGCATGCAGGGTTGTACATTTTTACGCTTATTTTCGTCAATAACTTCCTGTGGTGCCTGAATCGTTCAAGATAGAGCAAAACGGACGAAATTTACGCCCGGAGGGCTCTATTTTGATGAGCTACCCCTTAG